CCAGGGCCTGGTTCAGGTTCTTAAGACCATGGGCCTTTCTGTGGTCTTCATGAGGGGTAACCCCTGCTTACACCCCTCTGATGGCAGGGAGCTTACTCCAGCCCAGCTCCCTGGGGAGCCAACCCCGCCCTGCCTAGAAGTGACAAGGACTCAGCTGGAACTGACCTCCCTGGCGCTCCCAGTGGGGGTGCCCTCCCCTGCCCACTGGCCGTCATGCTCTCAGGAAAGGGGCACCTGTGGGCTCACAGCAGCCTGAGCAGGTAGGGGAGGGGGTTTCTGATGGATGCTGGGGGGTCGCATTGGGGCAGACAGGCCCCTGGGCGCAGGGCAGGGCCAAAAGCTAATTGACTGTGAGCCAAGTAGCAAGCTTGGGTGTGAGGAACCAACTTTCGTCAAGGCGTCTGCTTCCGGAGCTGCTGTCTGACTGCCAGGCTGCTCCCTCGGGAGGAGGGCCCGGGTCTCTGGCCACACTGTCCTCAGGTTCTCCACTCTTAGCTTCTGGATCTGGGCTGGCTTGTGACGAGACTGGGAGCTGGGTGACCTCTGACCTGTGGGCAGGGGGAGAGACACAAGTGCTGAGAAAGAGGAGGGGTCGTGGCCAACTCCCTGAAAACGAGTGTGGGGTGGGTTTACCCTCTTCTAGTCTTTACTCTGCACAGGTAAGCTGTGTATGAGGCACTCAGAGTAGACTAGGGGATTGACCTACTGGCTGTCTACCCAAGGCCCAGGCATTTGTAGTCCTATCAGAGCCAGCCTTCCATGACCCAGTGGGAAGTGCCAGATACTCATGATCCCAGCCTGCCTTGCAGCTAGGGCAGGTAGCCCAATTTTAGCCAATGAAACTCAAGATGAAATCTTCTGAGGAGCCTCCAGAACAGAATTTCATCCTTTATAAAAAGAAGTCCCAGGAAAGGAAATGCTTCTTCCTTCCTGTCTTTGAACACTGTCATGTGAGGATGTGGTGTTTGGAGGTGCAGCAGCCATCTTGTGACCATGAGGAGATGACCAAGAAAACTGTAGAGTAGTTGAATAATAGCCCCGACATCTTTTAGCTTCTGAGTTGACCAGCCCTGGAGCCACCCATCTCTGGACTTCTTATTATGAGTGAGATTTAAAAAAAATCTCTCCAGAATATATAAAGAACTCCTACAACTCGACAACAAAAAGACAAACAACCCAACTGAAAAATGAGCAAAGGACTCGAATAGACATTTCTCCAATGAAGATATACAAATGGCCAATAAGCACATGAAAAGATGCTCAGTGTCATTAGTCATTAGGGAAATGCAAATGCAAAATGAGATACCACTTCATACCCTCTAGGATGGCCATTATCAGAAAAATGAAAAATAACAAGTATTGGCAAGGATGTGGAGAAATTGGAACCCTTATCCATTGCTGGTGGGAATGTAAGATGGT